GTTAAAATTTTTATTTACTCAATCATGTGGATGACTGGAGATCGGTATTTACAATGACTACACGAGCGGGACGCTGACCGAAAAGACAGCAATGTACTTTTGGTAGTAGACAATTCTGATGTACATTCAAGAAATCTTGATCTGTAGAAAATCAATCTAGTTTTCTTGCCGCCATACCAACGAGTAAGTTACGACCTGTCGAACAAGGAGTAATTAAAAGTCCTGAAGCAAGGCTACAGAAGAAGGATGGCACGAAAATTAATGATTGAAGACTCATCAGCGACGACATCCTCAAAAATTTCTACTTTAGACGCCATCCACATTTTGCACGTTGCAGGGATGACAAAAATTCTGAATTGTTTCGAGAAGCAATAGTTGACATATCAGAACGCCAAGAAATCAAATGGTTGATTTTCTTATTTAAGATTTTTTTTTTCGTTTTTTGTTGTTTGAGCATAGATGAATGACGAAACTTCGGATGAACTTAAAACCATAGACTTCGAGTTGGAAGGTTTTCATGTTTTTGACGATAATCTTGAGACCTGCGAAACTTCAAGCCTTGAAACCATCTCAGTGCACCGAAAGATGATGAAGAAGAGAAGCGTATGATGATAATCCTGTAATTGGATGTGATCAAAACGCTTCGTACATTATTTCCCCGTACATTATAATACCGGCATAAATGAAGAAACCTTCAACAAAATTGGATTGGAAAATTTGGTGTTCAAAAAATGTGTTGGCTGTTTTAAACAAAACAAAATTTAAGATTACGTATTACCAGGCACGTCTAATATGTAATTGAATAAGAACGTTTTGTGTTTTATTTTATTTTTTTGTATATTTATTTGTATTTACCCGTTTTTATATATTCTATGTTTTTAATTTTTTTCATTTTATGCTGGGTTTTGATGATTTCCCTGTTATAGTGCTATCTCGGTTATAGCGCTGTTTGTACTTGGACCTCAGAAGAGAAACACGAAATTTTATTATAGTTTTAAAGCATAAAAACGTTAATGAGTCATAACATAACTCACAGACTTCCAGTGGCTAAAATGTGTCATCAGATCTAGATGGCATATCGATCAAGAAGGCAAATTAAAAATAAAGCAAAAGAATATTCTGTTATCTAGTGAACAATAAAATCAGTATTTAAATAGATAATAATTAATATTGTCCCTGCATATTAAAGTATTATGAGCTTATGTTGTCGCGGTTATGTGTGGTAAAATCAATATGGCATGTTCATCTAAATCGCACCGGTAAACCAACTGAGAAGAATATTTTGGTAATGAACAATTAATAAAAATTTAGTGATTTTATTAATTAAATATATAAATTTACTGGTTTCCATAGATTTGAGTATAAAAAAACAATGCGGAGTGAGATAAAGTCTGCATGTCAATCTAGATGGCACTGGAAAAAACCACAGAGCATTATATTTATTTAGATAGTAATTAATATTGATTGATTTTATTAATTCAATACAAAAATTAACATTTTTCCTATACTTCCGTTTGTTAACATTTAACAAATATATTAAAGTACAATAGAATTTTTTGTGGTGCTGGTACGGCGGGTAGAATGGGTCGTCAGATCTAGTCGGCATGTCAATCTACAAAGGTCTACAAATATTAACATTCAAAAAATTTCAATATTAGATTTAATGCACACCTGTTGATTATCATGTTTAATTGAAGTGATATAATACTATAGCTTGACATGAAAGTTAGAAACTACGATAATTGCACTTTTAAACAAGATAAACATCAATATAAACAATACTGGTAAAATCCAGGATTGAATTGACATCTGTTTCTGTGAAACTTTTATTTGAAGTGATAAAAATTCACTAAAATTTACTGTCCAAAAAGCAATTATACAAAATTTATTTATAATACTTACCAGAATAAATAACGTAAAGCTTTAAAATTATTATTGATTTTTCACAGGTTAAAAAGTTAAAGGATAATTTACATTTTTATTTTCTCAAATTATATGTAAGCTTTCGTTTATATACCAGTACATATTTTTGCAAGTGCATACGTAATGTGAACAAAAATATGTTTGCATTGTCGAAAAATCTTGGTTGAAGAAAACAAAGTTTAAAATTGGATTTTTATAATTAAGTTTCCTCCTGTTTTGAAACTTTTCGCATTACAGTTGTGGACAAATTATTTAGAAGATTATTTAAAAATTAAAAACCATCAAATAATTAATTTGGACATTTTCCAACAAATAATGAAAGACTTAATCAGTCTACAACTATACAAAATATGAATAATTTAAGATGAAATGTACAATGAAGAGTAAATTGGAACAAAACATATGTAAAATATATTAACTTTATATACCGTGTATATATGAAATATATAAATTTCCTTTCGGAATACAATTCATCACAGATTCGAGGTTCATTGAATGGACTGAAACAGCCATTTATTCGACATCATCATCACCGAGTCGACATGTTTTCCATTTCCAGTCATGCCTCTTCCAGAATAAAATTTTAGCCGGATAAACCCATTGATAGTGAGTATCCAGGCTGCTCTGTATTCAGCTGACAAACTGTTTTATCTACGATGATCATGCCTTTTTGGCGTCAAGTACGCAATATTCTCGAGACGAGGGATCATTAGCCTTGAGCTCATTCTCTGATGCCGGATACTTCCAGAAAGTCAAGAAATATATTATTTATTTTAAAAAGTTATAGCTTTAGAACATCTACGTGATATCCATTGTAAAAATATATGAAATTAACTGTTTTGTAATTTCTAATGTACTTATTTAAAAAAAAATTGTTTTTGAAAAATATTGAAAACTTATAACTTCAATTAAAAGTTAAGCATATCTAGATGCCACAGGAAAAACAAACTGGGAATTTCTTGTTAATTAGTGAATAGTCAATTAAAATTTAATGATTTTGTAATTTATGTGTCTTATCAAACCTTGTATCTACATAATAAAATACAAAAACCAATGGCTAAAATATACCATCATTATCATATATATATCATATTAAAATATATAAAATCTAGTCGGTATGTTGATTAAAAGCATCTCAGAAATTTTGGTGGTTAGTTAAAAGTAAATTTATTTCTTAAAAAAACTGCACAAAAAGCAGCCTAGGAATCTTGTTTAGTCAAACCCAAAATGAAAATCTTCCAAATTATTCTCTCTGCATAAGACAAAATATACAAATCCAAAAAAAAAGCTAGAAACCTTTGGCAAACTCAGTCGTTCACAAGCAAATCGGCGACAAACTTTTAAATAAATTGAAAAATAAATAAAACAAACATTCGAATTTCCCTCCGAGGTATTCAAACCTCATAACTTTGTCGATATTGAACACGATAAATTTATTTCCAATTCACTTATGACACCTATACCTCTAGATCTGTCAACTAAACCAATAACTCCAAAAGCAAGTATAACAAGAAATACGACAACTTCATAAAAAAATCACCAGGTCATGATTTGATAACAGTTGAAGTTCAACAAGAACTTCCCAAAAACCAGTCGTCTTTCTTACTTCTTTATTTAACGCAATTTTGATAACTACGCACTTTCCTATACAATGAAAATTTTCTTAGATTAAAATGATCCCAAAGCCACATACAAATTTAAGCTCCCCATCATCTTATCGTCCTATCAGTTTGTAAAATAATTCGAAAAATTATTTTAAAGTATAATTTGTATTGCTACATTCAACATCTTACTATACTATTAATTTAGTTTTCGAGCCCATCATTACTCATCACCTTCAGAGTGTTATTTTATTACAAAATATTATTTTCTCATTTTTCTTCTAACCACGGGTGACATTATTGCGAAATAAATGTGTGTGTGTGGGGGAAGAAAGGAAGAAAAAGAGAGAAAGAAAAAATGAGAGAGAAAGTGAGGGAGAGAGTGATTTATATATACAACTCTGATTTTAGTTAAGGTAGAGATATCAGTAGAAACTATTAAAAAAAGTCGAGAAAAAAATTCATCAGCAGCTTTTATATTAATTTAAATTTAATACATTAATAATTAAAAATTATAGCTAAAATTAAAGTAAAAAATAAAAATTAAAAACGTGGTCCAGAAAGGTTACCTAAGTCTAAAAAACCAGTAAAATCTTCCTTTCTTTGTTTTTCAGGTACATGCGATCACAGTGCGTTTCTTAAATATATATATATATATAAAATATCATATATATATGATATTTTTGTGCTCTTAGCGTGCATTCAGAGTGAATGTATTTATTGGCGTGATGTATAGTGCGGCGGAATTTTGAATACCCAATCAACCCTCAATTAGGGAAATTATGTAATAGGTGAAATGGAATGAAAAACACCTGAGAAAGATCTTTTTTAATGAACAATAACATAAAAGTTTAAGATTTTATTAAATTGGCGTCTAATTAACAATACCCTATGTATAAAATTACAATAAAAAACGCTACGGTAAGGTGCAATTGCTAGATTATTTTGTCGGATTAAGACAACAAATGCATCCAGATGGTATGAGAGAAATATTTTATTAGTTAGTGAATAGTCAATTGAAATTTAATTATAATTAATTAATTTTATTAATTAAGACGAATAATTAATATTATACCTTTATATTAAAGTACAAGCTTTTATGTTGTGATATTGCCACTAAAAATAACTGGGAAAAATATTTCTTAGTTAAATATTAAAAAGAGTAGATTTCTTTATGACTAATACTGGTAAGTTGTTTAGTCCTCTTTAAAAAAAATTCTAATTTTAGTACTAAAGTTAAATTAAATTTAAAAATAAGCGGTTCAATCAACAGTTGATGCCTCACTAATTTCCGATAAACGACTGAACGATTTATTTGTAAACAAAAGTTGTTTTTTACATAAAATGATCAATGAACGATTTTGATTCAAATTTGTTTAATAAAATTTCTCTTTATTTTCATTTTGCTTGCTTTACATTTCTCATCAATTAAATTTCACTGAAAATGTTTTTTTCTTGTTTTTCTTCCAGATGTATAAACAGTGACTGGCTCAGAGTGTTTCAAGACCTCGACACGCCGGAAGTGAACGAACGTACTCCCTGGTCAGGGATACTTTGCGGCACTTCCCTCCCGACACTTTACAGTTCCGGTCCAGTACTGGTACTCGAATTTCACACCGATAGCATTACATCCAATTCAACGGGATTCCGAGGAACCTTCTCGTTTGTTGATAAAAGTGAGTGTTTTTATCAATTTTTCTAAAAGTTTCGTACGAAATGGTAAAATTTTAAGACCAGATAAGGCACTGATTGTGTGCGTCATGTGACTACTTGCTATCCCAAGATTTACTGAGTTAAATCTAATGATTCTTCGTCGTTTTATCAATAATAAATCAAATAATTATTTATTGGCTTCTGCCCAATCAGACGTCGGTTTTCGCTTTGTCCGGCTTTCATTACATTCTACGTCTCATTGATTAGTCTGTCAATACCATTTTTTTTACAAGAGATCCCTAAGTTAAAGTGTCTATATTGATTCATGTACGAAGCATAAAAAATTCTTTCTATTCATATACATAACAGAAACTCTTTTTCTGGCTGGATTTCTGTTATTAAGTTATTTAGTGTTATTTGTTACGAAAGGAAAATTCTTTCTTGCAAAACAACAATATTTCGGCCCGCAAAGCGATTTCGCTTTGAAGTTTTAGCTTAATTAAGAGTTCAGCTCTGTATCTAAGATTCCGGCCTTCGGCCTTATTTACAAAGGGTTCAACAAGATCCAACAACTAATGGCTATTTTGAAAGTTGTTATTAAAGCTGAAGGAAATTGGGGGTCTGTGAAATTATAACCCCAAGGTATCAGGGGTAAATTTTCTCCAACCCAATTATTTACGAGTTTATTTGTTAAACTTTTAATGAAACGAGTATTTGCAGGCCGGTTGGGAGACTTTGACAGTACGAGATTAACAAACAATCACTATTTCAAATGGCACATTCTCTTAAATTATGAATGGGAAAAAAGCATGACTGGACATCATGAATTCTATTTTTTTCTAAACGTAAATGATCAAACTTTTTAAAGCATTTTCATAAAATTTTACTATACAAAAAATAGATTTGAAACAAATGTGATCAATGATTACGATGCTCTATAATTCAATAGAAACAGAAATAATCTCAGGATTATTTCAGCTTATTTAGATTTTTAAACAAGGAATAAAAATATTAAATAACTTTTTCTACGGAAATGAATTATAGTAAAGTCACTCAAATCAGACGAACCTGGTCTGCAAATGTCTAACATGTAAAGCATAAAATGTAAGATCAGTTTTTCAATTAATTAATCTTTAAGTAAGGCATTGGTTTAGAAAAAAGTCAGTGTCACGAGCGGGATTCGAACCCACGACCTTCGGCTAAATACGCCGCTACTGTACCACTTAAGCTATCGTGACTTCGATCTTCTCGGACACTTTTGTCGCCGAGAAATGAGAATCAAGTAGATTAAACGAAATTTGAAAAATGGCAAAAAGGAGGGAAAATCTGAATGGTAGGGTTGAAATGGGAAGTTAGTGTCCGAGGGGATCGAAGTCACGATAGCTCAAGTGGTAGAGCAGCGGCGTATCAAGCCGAAGGTCGTGGGTTCGAATCCCGCTCGTGCCATTGACTTTTTTATCTCAACTAAAAACCTTTATTAATTGTAATGTATTAATTGGTCAAGCGGACCACGAAATTAGTGAATTTAATGATTTAAAATGAAGTATACTTCACTAAAGCTCTCCGTGGCCATTTCATTTGTCGTCGAGAATCCAATCCGATTACACGACATTTGAAAAATGGCAAAAAGGAGGGAAAATTCAAAAGGTGGGGTTGAGATGGTAAGTTAGTGCCCGAGTGGATTGAGGTCACGATAGCTCAAGTGGTAGAGCAGCGGCGTATCTAGCCGAAGATCGTGGGTTCGAATCCCGCTCGTGCCATTAACTTTTTTTCATCTCAACTAAAAACCTTAATTAATTTTAATGATTTAATTGGTAAAGCGGACCACGAAATTAGTGAATTTAAAGAATTAATATGAAGTACACTTCACTAAAGCTCTCCATGGCCATTTCAATTGCCCTCGAGAATCCAAACCGATTACACGACATTTGAAAAATGGTAAAAAGGAGGGAAAATTCGAATTTACCAATTACTACAATTACTAATATTTAGAGATTTCCTTAATAAAATAATATTTTGAAAAATGGCAAAAAGGAGGGAAAATTCAAAAGGTGCGGTTGAGATGGGAAGATAGTGTCCGAGGGGATCGAAGTCACGATAGCTCAAGTGGTAGAGTAGCGGCGTATTGAGCCGAAGATCGTGGGTTCGAATCCCGCTCATGAAACTGACTTTTTTATGTCAACCAATACCTTACTTAAAGAGTAATTAATTGAAAAGAATATATTTGGTCAACCCGAGCTCGAAACCTAATCGATATAAAATCAACCTTTAAACCTTTGGACCCGAAAAGCAAAATTTGTCATGAATCGATAGAAAAATGACCACGCTTTGGGTGAATTCGCCACGTTCAAAAGAATCAAAAACTTCCTCAACATCACTTCCAGCAAAACAAAAATCTAACCCTTTCTTAAGGAAAATAAAGGGTTTTATACGAGCTTAAACGCCACTGCAAAAAATTGAAAATCCTGACAACATGAAAAAGCAGAAACATCGGACCATGTTGCTATCTGACTGCGAAGAATCAGACCGGAAATCGTACTTCCTGTTCTGAAAGACTTTCCTCGGTTTGGATAAAAGAATGGTCGATTTGACAATAAATCTTTTAGTTCAGAAGAAAGGAAGACTAATCATTCATCAATGACCCAAGAAGGCAAAAATTCACTATGATTGTCTATTAACTGAAATAAAATTAAATAGAAAAGCCAGAATCAAATATTAAATATTGCATTTATTATATTCTAAGTCATTTGTTATTATTAAAATAACTGTTTCATATGTTCCCAGAAATTTATGTTACTTTTATTTCATTTTAGTCGATTATTTTTTAGTTATCATGACAGTAACACAATATTTCTTATAAGTTTAATCATTGTAATAACTTACTAACTTGCGGTATAATTAAACCCTTCCACCCATCAACAGATAAAAAAGAGTTTGTTTTTAAGAAAACCTCGGCCTCTTTGGGACTTCTCGGAATATGCAAATCGGTCCCATTCTCCTCTTCTATAACCGAGTAGGCTCATTTAAACCTCGTTAAGTTCCGGATTTCCGTCTTATTGCTTGAAAAGAAATTTACAATTGGCATTGAAAAAAGTCCAACCGAATCACCGCTTAGAATGGCCGTTTAATGTCGGTTTTTGAAATGCTTACAATCAGGGAAACAAATTTTATTACAGTCATTATTTCAAGGTGGGGGTGATTAAGCGTGATCATTTAATAAACTGTTCTATTCAATAATCATGGGTAATAAAGAGATATGACTAGCAGGGAATTTTGATGGCCCATGGTGAAATTCATTTCATTCGGGAAATTAACCCTGCATACCTTTCCAAGTGCAAACTTAAGTCCTTCAAAATTAAAACCTTAAAATGTAAAGTCAAAGTTTACAAAAAAAAATTTTGCTTAAGATTTTCTTAATTCACACAAACAAAAATTTAAGTAGGCACCATTTAACAATATAATATTTGTAAATGCAACGTTTCTAGTGTTAAAATGGGAGATTCTCGGATAAATTTCTCTATGTGTTAACAAAAAATCGACGATTTTTCCACTATTCTTCATGAACTTTTGACCGTTTATTTCCGACATTAAAATAAACATTTAATTAAGGTTTTTAGTTGAGATGAAAAAAAGTTAATGGCACGAGAGGGATTCGAACCCACAACCTTCGGCTAGATACGCCGCTGCTCTACCACCTGAGCTATCGTGACTTCGATCCCCTCGGGCACTAACTTCCCTTCTCAACCCCACCTTATGAGTTTTGGAGGCAAAAGGAGGGAAAACTCATAAGGTGGGGTTGAGATGGGGAGTTGATGTCCGAGTGGATCGAGGTCACGATAGCTCAGGTGGTAGAGCAGCGGCGTATCTAGCCGAAGGTCGTGGGTTCGAATCCCTCTCGTGCCATTAACTTTTTTTCATCTCAACTAAAAACCTTAATTAATTGTAAAGTATTAATTGGTCAAGCGGACCACGAAATTAGGGAATTAAAATAAACTGTTAAGATCAAATAACAGACGAACTTAAATAAATAGCTTTTAAAATTCTTATTAATTGTACTTTACAACTTTCGAGTCATTACTGTGTTAAAATTTAAATAATTTTAATCGCTAATTTATATAATTTAAATAAATGAATTGGTTTGATTGAACAATTTATTTTAGGGAAATTTAGGATATTTTCAAAATATTAGTTGACTAAGGAAATCTCTAAATATTAGGAATTGGTAAATTTTAACTTGTGATTATTAAATTCACTAATTTCGTGGTCCCCTTGACCAATTAATATATTACAATTAATTAAGGCTTTTAGTTGAGATAAATTAGTGAATTTAATTATTTAGAATGAAGTATACTTCACTAAAGCTCTCCATGGCGATTTCATTTGTCGTCGAGAATCCAATCTGATTACACGACATTTGAAAAATGGCAAAAAGGTGAGAAAATTCAAAAGGTGCGGTTGAGATGGGAAGTTAGTGCCCGATTGGATTGAGGTCACGATAGCTCAAGTGGTAGAGCAGCGGCGTATCTAGCCGATGATCATGGGTTCGAATCCCGCTCGTGCCATTGACTTTTTTTATCTCGACTAAAAGCCTTAATTACTTGTGATTATTATTTATTCCAGTTCGTTTCTTTGAATTTGAATTTCCCATTTGAATGAAATACAAGGGTAGATTGATTAGGCACAAAGGTAATGGACCTAGGCATAGTTTTGGGAGAAAGGCTAAGTCCTACAAACCATGCCATCAAGATCAGAGAAATGACGAGATGCTTCTTCTCGAAACTAAACTCGATCGTAAAATCAAAAAGGGGGCTGAGTCCAAGGGCCCTCTCCATCACTTACAAAAGCGTATATCTGCCCATTGCCGGAGGAAGAGCAGCTTGCAACAAAATTGCAAAGCAGGAGTAGAAGCATCCTCGAGCAGAGTCAGAGAGTAGCGCTCCTGAGAACGACTACAGCTTATAGCACAGCCCCTAGTCACGCTCTCCAAGTCCTTGCTTCCGCTGGACCAATAGACATTGTCCTC